GGAGGGACGAGGAAAGAGGGGATGGGAAACAAGGATGTTTGAGCGTGGGAGTGGGCAGACGAAGACACCCCGGGCTTCGGAGTGGAAAACCACCTGTGGCAAGCGCTTGTTTTAATGTCCTCCTGACAGTAAGTGAGGCCACACAATGGTGGCTATAAAAGATGTTCACAAAAAGTTTTGTGTAGCCCAGACAAATTTTCCCAAAGTTCTCTCTCCTGACTTTCCAATGGCGTGCATTTTACAACCCACTTGTTGCAAGATTCTATGGACATTTTCGAGAGTTTCTCAAAGAACTTTGTGGGGCGGGGGTGGTGGTGGTGGTGGTGGTGAGGGAGGGGGCTAGTGGGTGATGCCGTGGGCTGCTAGCCACGAGGCTGGCAGTTCGAAACTAACAGCCACTCCTGGGAGAAAGATGAAGCTTTCTACTCCCACGTAGAGTTACAGTCTCACAACCTACACGGGCAGTTAGGTCTGTGTGTCAGAATTGATTCCGTGGCATTGAGTTTGGTTTCCAGTTCTCAGGTGGAGTGAGACTGGTTTTCATACTTAACTTTGAAAAGGAATCCTTTCCAAATCTAAACTTGCCTAAATGTAATCTGTATTTATAAGGAATGCAGCCCAAGGCTGCGAGGGAAACAATATGAACTGAAAACTTGGGGGAGTTGCAACTTTTATTCTGATAGCAGTGGCTGTAGTCTGTTACTCTGATCACGGGTAGCCTGAGCCCTGTTATAGTTTCACTTTGCCTACCTAGATGAGGCCACCCACAGTTGCAACTATCTCAGAAACACAGCGGAAGACGACTGCGGAAGAAAAGTTACGACCTCTAAACGTTGAAGGTAGTTCAGCATTCATGGATTGAACCCTAGCCCTTTGCTCAGAGCCCCAGTTTAGAATGATACCATCCAATTAAAAAAATGTTTATTGAACATCAGGTACCTTGATGAAGATACCAAAGTGTAAATAAGACATTGACATTGTTCCCAGGATGCTCAAAATCTTAAAAAAGGAAGAAAGATGTAAACAAGTAAGATAAAATGTATTCTATCTTCCTGGCTCAAAGTTGTGCCAGGCTCAGAGGTGGGCTGGGAAAAGGAAGACGGAGATAAGGGGAGGTATGCCTTGTGTCCCATGGCTCACAGCAAACCGCAGCAGGACCAGGGAGAGCAGGCCTTCTGTCCATCAGTGCCACAGCGAGAAAGGAATGTTGCCAAAAGAAGCAACAGTTTTAAAAGGAGGACAACACACAGCACAGGGCCTCGAAACAAATAGCAAATAAGAGAAAGATTCGATCACACAAAAATACAAAAATCAAGCAAAGGGATCCTTCATTTCTCTGGTTATCAAACTGTCACACAGGCACACTCCGCATTGTGCTCAGAAAGGTGTTTTGAAATGACACTTGGAATTCATTAAACAAGATGTGCTATGAGACTTGAGGTCACCCTGGAGCAGAATGACAGCAGAGTACCTGGTTTGGGTTTTATCATGAGGCTTTGAGATGCTCATAGGCTTTGAACCAGTAATTCAACCCACAAGTGTTTAAACCCAGCTAAGAAACAGATTCCGGTATATATACAAGGGGGCTTCAAAAATGGAATTAATTAAAAGGTAATGGGATTTTCCCATAAATCTTTTGATTCATCAGTCCAATTTGTCACAGTAAGGACTGGGGACAGTATCTGAAGAAGTGCGCTAGTCCTGCCAATTCCTTAGTATTCATAAAGTGGAGCATCACAAAAATGAAAACTTTTGAAAGCCATAGGGTAACTTACATGATCGATTGCTAAATTAAAAGAGAACCAAGCTATATGTAAAATGTGATCTCTTAAAAAAACAAAAAAAATGTGATCTATTTTATAGTGATACAGATATGTAATAGATGGGTGGATAGTGAGTTCAATAAGTGTCCCCCTTCCCCAAAATTCATGTCCACCAGGAACCTCAGAATATGATCTTATTTCATAATTAAGCCTTTGCAGATGTAGTTAGTTCTGATGAGGCTATGATGGATTAAGGTGGGTCCTTAATCCAATGACTGGCGCCCTTCTGGAAGAGGAGAGGACACAGGGACATCAGATAGGCCACATGTCCACGGAGGCAGAGGTTGGAGAGACCAGTTCACAAATCCAAGAAGTCCAAGGATGGCCTAGGACCACCAGAAGCCAGGAGGGTGCAAAAATGGGGTTGGCCCCAGTGTCGGGAGAAAGCTGTCCTCACGAGATATCTTGACTGTGGACCGCAGGCCTCGTGAAGTAAGAGAGGAAGCATTTTTGTTTGTGGTCGTTTGCTTACAGCTCTCCTGGGGAGCTAATACAAAAGGCATGAAATGATTCACAATGACCAGTTCTGGACCAGGCGGTCAAGGATGATATTTATTTACTTCTTTCTATTTTTATCGCATCTTGAAGAATGTCCTAAAAAGAAAGCATGGCATTGCCGGCTCATTTAGATCAGAACCAAAGCATGATCAAGGACAGTGATGACATAAGTCACACCCGAGGATATCTTCCTTACCCGCTAGTAGAGGTGGGAGGGTAGAGCGCTCAGAACACCTCTTCAACCCGTGGTTTTGTATCTAAGTTGATCAATGTCATTTGTCTGCAATTTGGACCACTCACTCACTGCCATAGAGCTGACACTGACTCCCAGCTACCCTACAGGAGAGGGAAGCACTGCTCTGTGAGTTTCTGAGACGGCAACTTTTTGGGGGAGTAGAGAGCCCTGTCTTTCTCCAGAGGAGGAACTGTTGGCTTCTAACTGCTGACCTTGCCGTTAGAAACTCAACTTGTCACCAGCACACCCACCACCAGGGCTTCTTATGTGCAGCACAGGTAAATACACCTGTAGCAAAATGCTCAAACGTGTAACCTCACTGCCATAGAGTCGATACTGACTCACGGTGACCCTATAAGACAGAACTGTCCCATAAGGTTTCTAAGGCTGTCAATCTTCTGGGAGAACAGGTAGCCTCATCTTTCTCCCTGTGAGTGCTTGATGGGTTTGAACCATAGACTTGTGGGTTAGCAGTCCAAAGCTTACTCAATAATGCCACCAGGATAGGAGCATACGCTTTGTGGGCAGAGTACCAATTGCCTCAGTTGTTACCCTAAAGATTGAGGGCATGCCCTAGAGCAGTGAGTCTAATCAATAGACACTCCAAGTGGAAGAGAGTAAGAATGGCTGGCTTATGAGGCAGCTAGCCAGCGGAGTATCCTCCCAACAACTAAGGCTGTTTGCTGGGTGCTCAAACTATCCAAATTTCCCAGTGAGATTTGGGCTAACTTTTCCTAATGATGGTCATCAAGTTTTACATGGAGTATGGCTATCATTTTTAAGATAGATGGCAGGCACCATAAAACCACAAGGCACAAGAAGGGCAGAAAACGCAGTATTCAAATGGAGAACATCACCATGCATTATCTTGACATCTGCTTTTATCACTCGGATACCATGGCTGAGGGAGCTGGAGGGGCCCATTTGACTCCACACAAGTTTGAAGTCCTCATTCGCAGTCTAGGCTCTTGTTTGAACCATTGGAAACAATCTAAACATACAGTAACATAAACAATCTAAACGTACAGTAGCAACATTGATTCTTCTCAAGCAAGGCCCATTTCAAATCAAAGTGGCAGCAGTCGGAGTTGTACAAGTCTTGCTCACAACTCCTGACACCAGTCCAGCTGGCTTGTCCATGGACAAGCCCACTCAGCGATGGCTGTGTTTGGGAGCTGGATTCCTTAATCATTTACCTCTGCTGCCTTGGATGCAAGCAGTTCTCAGGGGGCTATCCCTTGCCGCCATCACTCTGCTAACCTCCCTCTTAGGATACATTCCCTCTCCTTCACCCCGTCATATTTGTTTTGTTTGCCTTATATTATGAACTTAGATGTAGGGACCCATACAAATCTATCTATAAAATTTGAAATTGTTCCCATTATGGACTAGGAAGACGGTATCGATCTGCAAATATAATGAATCACCACATCATTGCTGTTGCTGCTGCTGTAGTGGACTGTCAAGTGACTCCTAACTCATGGCGGCCCAGGGGTGGGGCAGAAATGGCCGACTTTCAGATCTCTTCTCCCAGACAAGGCTGGTGAGCGCAAGCTGCCAATCTTTCTGTTAATAGCTGAGAACGTAATTGTGGGTCCCCCAGGGCTTCTGTCATTGTGCGGAGTCATCAAATGGTTCTTTCTGACCCACAGAGACTCTGCATAGCTGAAGGAAACACCGCCCAGTCCTACACCATCCTCACAGTTGTTACGTTTGAGTTCACTGCTGACACAGTCCCTGTGTCAATCCACCTTGTGGAGGGGCTTCCTCTTCTTCACCGCTCCGCTACTGTATTATCAATCATGGGGGCCTATTCCAGGGACTGGTCTCTCCTGATAACTTGTCCAACATATGTGAGATGAAGTCTCTCCAGCCTCACTTCTAAGGAGCATTCTGGCTGTACTTCTTTTTCCAAGACAGATGTAATTGTTCATTCAGCAGTCCATAGAGCTTTCCGCATTCTTTGCCAGCACCATAATTCAACTGCATCAATTCTTCTGTGATCTTTCATATTCATCGTTCAACTTTGCAGTGCCTACCAGGTGATGGAGAAGACCATGTCTTGGCTCAGGGGCACCTCAGGCCTCAAAGTCACATCCTTGCTCTCCAACACTTTAAAGAGCTCCGTGCAGCAGGTTTGCCCCGTGCAGGGCTCCTTTGCCTTATACTCAGTTAGCATTTGGAGCTGCTTAGTGGGGAAAGGAAAAAGCGTACATAATAAAACAATGTTCACTTTGCATTTGCAATAGATAATCTTGGTAAAGAGAGGGTCAAAGATGAGGAGGCCCTTTCAGGAGATGGATTCATGTGCTGGCCGCAGCAACGGACTCTAAGCGCGCCCATCGTAAGGATGGTGCAGGAAGGCGCTGGGTGCCCTTCTAGCCCATGAGTAGGTTTGCTATGAGTCTGAACTGGCTTGAAGGCACCTATAGGCTTGCTATGAATCTGAAGCAACTCCATTGCAGTGAGTTTGGTTTTGGGGGTTGAAACAATTACTAACAATATCTTTCAAACCTATCATAGAACATCTATGGAATATAGCTATGTATATTCCCAATAGCCAAGTGGTTCTTGAAGTTGGATTGCTATTCTTGCAACCATTTTAAGCACATGGAAATAGCTTTAAGCTGAACTCAGAAAGGCCTGACTCACGTCTGACAGCCAGCATGGAGATTCCTGGAGGGCTTGGTTCCACTTTGACAGCATGGGGTCACCATGCGCTGGAACCGATTCAAGGACAGCTGTGTGTGGGGGTGGGGGGGTGGGGCATATCATGGAGGAGAGTAGAGAGACTAATTTCCTGTAGGATGAGCAGTAGTTATGATATCCTATAACCAAACTATTAATGTAAGTTTAGAATCTACCAGAAGCCCATTGGTGGTGCAAAGTGCTCAGCTGCTAACCAAAAGGTTGGTGGTTCAAAACCAGCAGCCCCTCCTTGAACAAAAGAGGTTTCCGTCTTCTTCTGCCACGACGACAGCCTTGGAGACCCTCGGGGCACTTCTCTCCCATCCTGTAGAGCCACCGGGGCTGGAATTGACCTGATGGTCATAGTTTTGGGTTAACCTTACTCCCAGTATTCATATCGTTCTTTCTCCCTGAGGCATTTATGTCCAGTTCAGTTAGCCTGACTCAGGAGAAACGTGGGTGGGCTAGTGGGTTACATTTGGGGTTGTTAACCACAGATCAGCAGTTCAACACCACCAGCCATTCCATGGGAGAACCTTGAGACTTTCTACTCCCATACAAGTTGACACTCAAGACTTACCTGGTGGGGGGGAGATACCGTGGTCAAGGAGGTCGTTTTCCCAGGGCAAGGCTTACCTATTGCACTCGGGATACGCTGATCCCTATGATTTCCCCAAATGCGGAGAACTGGACTGCACAATTTGTGGCACTGGGGGACTATGTTCTCGGTCTCCCACAAAAAAGAAAGAAGAAGAAGGAAGAGAGGAGGAGGAGATGATCTACACTCTGGAAACTCACCGGAGAAGTCGGGATTGATTCATCCGGGACAGTGAGTTTGGTTTGCCTTGGGGAGGCGTCTGAGGAATGTCCTCCCCCTCCTCCTGCATCCAGGCCTTAAAATGGTTTGATATAGGAGCAACGCTATCCTGATTAGAGAAACTAAATTCAGACCAATTCAACGCCTACTGTTTGGCAGCACATTGGAAGAGCTAGCAGCTACACGGTGTGGCTGTAAACGACAGCCTTCTCACGCAACGATAGCAACCCTATCATTGCAGCAGAGTGAGAAGATGGCTACGGCCCTGGGTGGTAGTTAGACGCCGAGGATTGGTCACTGCGGAGCAGGGGATGACTTTACATTCTGGTCAGTACGCTGTCGAGGATGCCCGTTTACTAGCATCCACGGTCAACACCCCTGGAAATCACAGCACCCGTGGCACAGGACAAATGTGCTGCCAGAGAGCTCTTCACGAGTGCTAAAGCCCCAAAACAAAGACATCCCTTGGGCACCTCCTGTGTCCGTAGCAGGTGGACAGTGAATAAGGAATGCCCGGGCCTGATGCATCTGAGTGGTGGTGCTGGTGAAGAATACTCAAAGTCCTGTGTGGGCCGCCAGAACAACACACATTTGTCTCGGAAGAAGTACAGCCAGAAGGCTCCTTAGAAGCAAGAATGGTAAGACGTCATATTAGCTGAATGAATGAATTAAATTAAGTGAATGGGTAAACCTGACGGGACAAAGGGGGCTGTCTGCCCTAATGCCTGTGCTAAATGAAAATTAGCTGTCCATGCCATAATACAGGGGTGGGAAAGAAACAGGCACACGGAGTAGACACCGGTGGGAAAATCCAGAACTGAGCATGCGTAGAAATAAGTCACCTAGGCCCAGGTAAAGGCACCAGCCATAGTGCAACACCCAGGTACACTTAAACTCAGCCAAGAAGGTCAGCCAATACCTTCACCCACGCCGCCCAGCCATTGGGAATAAACGCCAGCTGCGGGCAGGCCACGGGCCCCTTTCCCTTCTCTCTCCTTCAGGGTTGCAGCTGCAAGTGGAGGGGAGATCCCTCCCACAAGTGGGCGTGCACACGCCTGTGGGCCCACGCTCCGCCCCCTCACGCTCTTGGCTTCACCTTTCCACTCTCCTGTCCTGGTATTCTCCCCACGTGTTTTTCCACGGTTCCCCGAAACGGCCGTTTTCAGTCGGGAACTTTCCCCCACCATTTGGCCCTCTACCAGAGAAAGCGTGTGCTTTCTGAGGCCGTCCTACCTGGCCCCTTTCCCTCCTAAAAGTCACAAAAGGAGCTTCTGCTGCATGGATTCTGTCAGTGTTGCGAAGCAAGAACCAAGGCATGCCACTCCAGAAACCTAGCAACCTACTGCACACGACCTCTATAAGGTGGCGAGAAACACGGATGTTACTCTGAGGACGAGGGGGTGCCAGCCGCACACCATAGTGTTTTCAGTCACCTGGGCATGTGAAAGTTGGCCCTTGAATGAGGAGGACCACAGAAGAATGGATGCACTTGAACGACGCCGCTGGGGAAGAATCTTGAAGGTACCACGCCTGCCCAAAGCACTAAACCATCTGTCTCAGAAGTACAGCCAGAATGCTCCTTAGAGACAAGGATGGCAAGACTTCCTGTCACCTACTTTGAACATCTTGCCAGGAGCGGCCTGTCTCTGGAGAAGGGCACCAGGCTTAGGGAAGTGGAGGGGCATCCAAAAAGCAGAAGCCCCTTGACCAGACAGACGGATTGACACGGGGGCTGCAGCAACGGGCTCAAACACACAATTATGAGGATGGTGCCAAACCCGGCAGTGTTTCCTTCCGTTGGGCAGCGGGTCCCATCGGAACCGACTCATTGGCCCCTGAAACAGCAGCATGCATGATTCCACAAGCAGAAGAACAATGCTATTTCCCTCCTGGAAAACACACCGTTTTTTATTTTCCTGGTTGTTGACATAGTATTTTCGTTCTTAGCAATGACAATTTATAGGGTAAAGCTACTAAGTGTGACCACTGGGGCCCCCAGGTCTTCTCAGACCTCTTGATTCAGAAGCTGCATTTTCATAATAGCCACAGGAGATTCACCTGTAGGTTAACAACACCTAAGAAGTACTTACTTTGGGCTGGTTTTCCTTGTCCAGTGTTCACAACCAGCAGGAAACAGAGCTCAACTAAGAGCCCAGTTTGTTTGTTTTTTAAATTTAACAGTCTTATTGGCACATAATTTACATATCATACAATTCAATAGTTTAATCGCTTAATTGTATGAAGGAGAATTGTACAATCATTACCAGATCAATTTTGGAACACCCCCCTCCCCCGACACACACATTTTAAAACGAGTTATCGGTTTTTACAGCAATCAGTTCTAGTGCTCCCTTCACACACACACACACACACACACACCGCGCGCGAGGGGGGGGGGCTGGCCCCCACCACCGCTTTCATTTTTTATTCCTGAAATCCCCTTTCTCTCCCTATCTACCACCCCCCTTCTGGCTCCCCGATCAACCCTTGTGCCAGTTACTGTCACTTTTCACAGACTGGGAACCCAACAGCAACAACAACAAGCACAGTCAGAAGAAGGTGGTCGGGCTGTAATAACAATCACTAAAGACAACGGGCGCATCATGCGTGAGTCAGAAAGAAAAGACTCCCATCAACATTCAAAAAGTCAGGGAAGAAATTCCTGTCAGGGAACAAGTAAGAGCTTTTAATGATTTCTATTCCAAAGTATTTTTTAAAACTGTTTGTGAGTAAAGACACACCCACGCACACTCTGATTCAGCCCATCCACTGCCACCCCCTGCGTGTACCATGTGCTCCCTCTGCTTCTTGTTTCCATTACCCCTTTTCCTTATTCCTCGGACTCCTGTCCTTGGGGTCCTGCTGCTCTTTTGATCTTAAATGGTCGATTATTCTAATGCAGAGGTGAGTTCTCTCCCAGATGTGAGGGGCACAGGCCAGGCTCTTGTGGGTCCCACTGTCTCTAGTGTAGTCCCTATTCAAGCCCAGACTATCAAGCCTGGTCTCTAGTGTAGTCCCTAATCAAGCCCAGACTATCAAGCCTGGTCTCTAGTGTAGTCCCTATTCAAGCCCAGACTATCAAGCCTGGTCTCTAGTGTAGTCCCTATTCAAGCCCAGACTATCAAGCCTGGTCTCTA